CGAAACATGATTGACGCTTGTGTGCTAATTAGACTGACAGATGAGATGTTACATAGTCCTACTAGTTGTGCCTAAATACTGATTTATATCAAAGGATGTGAAGTATTCGTATCGTAGTTGCAAGAATATAAAATGAATCCTTCAGCACTAACCTTTCCATACCTTCAGCTCAAAGAAATAAACCAATAAACAGACTTATATTTTTAACTCTGATTTAAAGTCATATCTTCAGAAGTAGTTAACAAATACTTTATGTACCATAGGTTTACGGTTCAGTGTAAAAAAGTGGGATAACGCTGTGAAAGCCTCTATTCAAAAGGTAACAAAGTTCAAGTTCGAACCCAAAAGAGTAACGATTGTAATACAGTTCGTACTGGTAAGATCTACAGATGGCTCAAAAGAGGAATGAAGAAACAATTGCTACCATGTGCAACAGCCACGCTCAACGATAACACATCGCATTCCACAACATTTCTAAATGGCTTGGCTTCAGCGATGCGAATATTCCCGTAACATATCCAAATTGGTCAGTCAGTGGAACGTCGGACTCTCAAGATCAGAGATGCCGAGGCTGAGCTTCGATCAGGTCAATAGCCTTTCTTCCTACCGAGGTTGATTAACGAGCACAACTATGTGGGAAGAAACCAGAAGACTACACGCTGTGCTTGCCACATGACTGCACACCGCTTTTAAAATGAAACACTAGTGGCTGATGGCACAGAAACAGAGATCAGCGTTCCAACATTAATTTCAAGAAATGAAACTCTATGATCGTTACAAGTTAATTCCGTATGTGACGGGGATAATGCAAGGGTACGATTAAATTGAACTAAGAGTGATCTTTGACATCAAGCCTTGCCTCACGGATGATCACCCTTACCCCATAAAATATTATTTCATTCTGCCAACTCAAGAGTCAATTCCTAACTCTCCTTAACACCGCGCTGTGATTCTCGCAATACCTTCGCACTCACAGGATGACGGATCACTCATTAATTTAAACTAATTACGTGTAAAAACCATGTTATTCTTTATATTGAAAAACTTATGCTGTCAACCACAGAATTCCTCAGATGGGCAACATTCAACCATCCTAACATGGAATCGATACTACTCTGAAATAAACACAGCATAGCACACGAAACATATATATTTATACAAAAAAGACCTGTATTGGTGAAAGTACGAACAAACGCAAATGTCACAAAGACTTCAAAGCAAAACCCATGTCCCAGAAATACCGAAATATCGATAATGGTCAGACATCCGATCGACTCATTTTTTGGGCTCTGTACAAATAAACTTTTTTACCCTCATTTCAGTAGAACAACCGACGCATGAACGAAATACTCAATGTTCAGTACTCACTACTCTAAAATACTACGCAGCAGTTCGACATGATTAATCTGTTCGGTGAAAGGATGTCACACAGATTCATTGCCATATACAGAAGGCAAACGTCATCATCATCGACAGAACGAACATAGTTTATTGAACACAATCGATTTCACTGTAAGCTCCAAAGTACACAAACAAAGGCGGCCTGAAGTTTTGTACCGTTGTTGGTTTAAAAAGAGGGTCAATACGCGCCATCGCTCAATCGCTGCAAATCCACGAATTCCACGTCATCGTCTGCAGGACGATTTCGCGAACAGGAGGATCAGTCAGTGCATGAACTAAGTCACAGGTCGATGATCATTAGTGGTCAGAGTTCACGAGCATTTAGCTGAGCGCAAAACAAACATATAAAGTCCAACGGTCTGTTGCAACTACAACATAAGCTCGCCGTAATCTTGGAATATGATTCATGCAGTGTTCCTCTTTCACTTTTCCCCTGACCGACGAAGCGTAATAAATAATGCCGAACAGTAACCATATTGTAAATACAGAGAAGACAAACAGGGTCTAACTTGTATCAAAATACCGCGTATTCAAGCAGCAAGACAAAGCCCTGACTAATGGCGGAAGAACATGAAACACATCTCTCCGTGGCAATAACAGGACTGAAACTACCGAGCTGCGTAGAGCTAGCATTTTTGTGAGTTAGTGTCCTTCAATTTTTAACGGTAAAGAGCAAGAACGCTCATAGCGACGATCCTTCATAAAGCCTTTACACATGCTTGCGATTATCAAACTGTAGTTAAAGGTCTAATCATCGCCTCGGTCAGGATACACACAAAATGGTAAACTAATCGTTTCACAAAGTTTGCATTTATTTTATTAGAGCCAGCACATCGGCTCTGTTCCTCGTGTTTTGGAACACGGCTCGGATCAGGTGCCTGACTTGATCAGACGAGAAACATTTTGCCAAAGGACCATTGCCGGAAGCCCAACGGTCCGCGAACCTTTGCAGGTCACAACTGAGGCAGCTGGACATTTCGTTCAGGGCGCGCCATCTGGCGGAATAACGAGAAATCACAATTTTGTCATCGTCCTGAAATTATCGAACGTAAAACAGGATTATAATGAAACAGACTTTTAAAGGTTTAACCCTAAAATTGATCGCCTAAATTTACCCCTGGCTTGGCCTCATTACGATTTCGATATCAGGAACAGGCAGCGAAAATTAGACTGAAGTTGAAGCGCGAAACACCAACAAAAAACGGCTTACCGTAAAACACTTCGGTAGATGATTGACAAGTATCCCCAGCAGCTCATTCAAGCGACCGCAGTCACGTTCTGGAATATCTTCCATTCGGAAAATGCAACTCAGTACATAGTCGATCGCATGATCAGCGAAGTGCGCCAACAAGCTGAACATCACGGCGGTCGGCAGAAGACCAGTCCAGAGGAGGTGAAGCTCGCGTAGCCGCAGAGCAACTCTCCTCAGCACCGCACTATAGTTCTGGAAATTAGCGTCCCATGAAACCGTTCTCAGTGCTACAAAACAAAATCCAGAACTACAACAAGGTAACATAATAGTCGTGTATGTATCAGTGAAGCTAAAAATCCAGTAGTTTGGAAACGATCAGAGGTGTGATATAAGCGACGGCAGATGTGATAGCAAAGAAAGCTCACTAGAAGCTCTGAACCAATTCGACAAGAAGAGAAGAGCCAGCATTACTGACAAGAATCAAGAACCAAGAGGCAGAATAATATGTTGATTAGTAAACGAACCGCAATAACTGAACATGGGGAACATAAACATATAAACAAAAATATCATGAACAAGTACAGGATTGCATCAAGCAAAACAGTCAGTAGCATGCGAGGAAGCTAAAACGAGGCAGTTAGCTGCATATACAAGAGTTCGGATATACCATAACAGATTTAAACCGTACAAATAGAACAGGACCTTCGGAAAAACGCTATAGCCTTAGATAAAAAACTGGTGGTTAAAAACAAACCTGCAAATAATGCGGAAACCGTTGGTGGTAACGCAGAAGAACCGTGTCAATAGCGTAAAAGGATATGGGACATCGAAGAAAGCCGACAACAGAGAAGCTAAGTTAATAAAGGAAAAACAAAAGAATGGATATGGAATCTCTGAACAAAAAGAAGTCACAAATAAAAAAAAATAAATGCGAGGTACTAAAAAAATTAAAAACTGGGCACTGTTAGGTCCGGATTAAAGGACTGCGTTCAGACTTAAACGGCTAACCGGCTCGCAGTCACGATTAGCAGGATATGTGCAGAAAGCACCTGAAAAAGGACTACCTTCTTGGTTAACGGAAGTAACGAAACAACCGGTTCTGAATGACAATAACACGTGTCTTGGTTATGTGACTAATCACATATCATCAGACAATCTGGAAATTCCGAACGTGCACTTTAGCTAAAAAGGTATACGAGGATCTCCAGGAAAACAACATATTTCATGAACAAAATTAGTGCCGGACAAATAGGACCTAACGACGAATGCCAGACAAATCAAGAGAACCTAAGGAGCAGTTGCCCTTAGACAAGACACTCGTTACGTAACAAAGTCTCCTTGTAATCGGTGAAGACTAAAGGAGGAATCTTCCATTTTGTCTGCCACGAAATCCGTTAGTTACTTGCTGAATAATACAAGGAAAGAACATATGTTGAAAGACGGCCGTGCAACATCGCTCTTGTTATGCAAGGACGATCTGAAGTCGCATAGAAAACGAAAACGGCAGAACCGAATATTGTTGTATCCTTTCAGAAGGGCTGGGTAATCTGATCAAAAGTAAATGAATCTTGTCGAAAGATATCAGGATAGAATTCAGTTTGAAAAGATGTGCCATGATCGACATTGAGAAGAAAAAGACCTGGTACAATAAATAACTTGAAGAAGGACAGTCCTGTATCTCGGCGTGCTATAACTTTACAATATATTACACTAAAAAATAAAATTAACAAAAAAAGACGGAATACGAGAAGAGAATCTGCCTGATGTTGAAAAGCAAGTTGAGTATGCGAAAGAAAAATCTTGGCCAATAACCAGTATGTGGCACCAGTGCTCATTGATTCAGTACGCATTGTCAACTGGACGTGAACGAAAAAAGTATAACTGGATAAAATGATACGATGAAAAGATTCTGGAAAATGTACTGCATGGTAATCGAAAAACAGATACTACTGAAGGTCCGGCGGAGAAAAGGAAGAATAGGGCTTTGCAGTACATACATAAAGGATATGTCGGAAATAAAGACGCAATCTCTAAGGTAATATATGAGTATGACAGTGAACAACAAGGTGCTGTCCGCTGTAAAGATAACGTTTTGTGTAAACTAGAACAACAAACAGTTGGAAATGCAGAAAATCGTCAGCAGAGTATGAAGAACGCCCAAATTACCATTGTTGGAAAAATAGTAGAGCTGCAAGGATAAAAAAGCATTTTCAGAAACATGGCGAAGGCACAAACATCCGCCAGACTTTCAAATGGCTATCAAGAAGTTGACTGCACAACGAAATGGAAACTCTTCTTATAGCCGCCCATAACCAAGCATAGTTACTTGAAGAGACAGCTTACCATTCGTCATATTCAGCTTGTCGTCCATCTTCTGTTTTTCTTGCTTGACGAATTCCGAAAAGCAATCGACGGCAATATCCCGAAACTGAGGCACAAAGTCCAAGAATGTTACGAAGAAGGAAGGGTCATCGTTTGCGAAAGCACTTTCGAACTTGGGCGTGTACTCAAGACCAAGGGTCG